CCACCACCGAAAAAAAAAAAAGGGTTGGAGTAGGGGAACGGGGGGTGGATTGTTTGCCTACATACATTGGGGATCATCTTTTGGTGACAGCACCTGCCTCCACGATTGAAAGGAAACATCAGCCATGGGACTCGGGTTAACTACCATCTAATCAAGGCTGTCATGTACTAACTACCATCTAATCAAGGCTGTCATGTATGTAACCTAATTAGGCTACTGAGTAGTTGTGTAAGCCTACGTGCCAAATCTCCTCCTTTGAGGATGGACCGTGCAGCTAACAGTGGCCATATTCAGATGTCTGTATAAAGTTACTATAAACAGGTGTGCACGTTATTCGAGGATGCTGGACCCGTTTTCCAGCAAGTGGTGGTCCCCACCAATAGATGGAGCCTCCCCAAGAGTGGTAGAGGTGTCTGCTCATATCGGCACCCCTATCACCACCTCGGCTGTTCATCCAAAAAAAAAAAAAAAAAAAAAAAAAAAAAAGAAGTTTCTACTCGATTTCTTTCTGCGGCCGATAGCTGGGCCAAGTACTGGTGGTTTAAGACCCCTCCCATGCCACTGCATTTCCACTATAGCAAGCTGATTAGGGGGGAACAGGTGCAGGAAATCTGAGGGGGGGCGAACGGGAATAGAACCATCTATCTTAGTCCACTCATGAAACACCAGCCTGTAATCCCTCTTCAGATTTGAGGAGTCCCCTCCCTTACCCCGTACCCCCTACCCATATTACCTCCGCTACCCCCTCCACCCCCTCCTCACCCCCCCGGCCAGTCATATGAGAATCGCTTTTTTGTGTTCCTTAGTATTATCTTTGTGTGAATGACTGAAGGCTCAGGGCCATCGAGCTGGGCTCCCTCCATCTCAAAACTGCACCTTCTCCGCCAGACGGCCTAGAGCACAGCCCTGCGCCCTTTGCGAAACATATTTTCAGCAAAGGTACTGGCCTGCCGGGGGGACCAGCCCCCGCACAACAATGCCTGCCATCCCCATGGCCATTGCTCCACCATTCCCGTTTGGCGCCATATTCTGTCCCACCAGCGCCATTGTCCAGACTGACCCCGTGCACTGCAAAAAGATGTGCTCCATAGTTCCGGGTATTGTACATGCCGGGTAGCTTACGGAATTTACACCGGGGGAGGGGGCACTGCCCCGTTGCTCCAGCCGGGTTTGGTCAATCAACCAATCGTTTGTGGGCAGGCACCCATGGAATATCTTCCACTGCAGGGATGCGATCTTGGCCAGACCTTTCTCCATTCCGGCGAACCACCTTATGGACCGTAGTGCTCCCCAACCCACATTAAGATATGCTTCATCCATCCGAGCGCCACCCAGTATTCGATGTCAACCTTAGGGCCCAACGTGCGGTATGTACGATGTAGTCAGTGCATGCAAACGCCTGGTCCTGTTGGCACTTGTGTTTATGATGGGTGGTGGTCCCCGCCCAGTTTTCTGGATCTAAGGAAAGGTCGGCCACCGAGGTATCTGGCCTAAAGGCAAACCATTGTTCCCCCCCGAAGGACTCCGATTCTGAAGACCCGATCCTTCGGAAGCCAGCGGTCATCCTCTGGTGTGTGTCTAGTGTCAAGGAGCTATCATTGTTAACTTGAAAAAAAGCTCACCAGGACGCACCAATCCGGGTGTGGACTACCTTCTTAACCCCAAATAAACGTACGTACGTTCTATTCGAATTACCTCTGGAAATCGGGTTTTCAGAAATCGCTTGTTTTTCCCCGAATAGAACGTACGTTCGAATATAACCCGAAAAGAAACGTACGTACGTCCAACTGACTTCGACAGATTACCAAGTGGCGAGTACATTGGCGTCCTCCCTGATCGATACCCAGTCAGTTTCCTGAAGGGGATGGTCCCTTTCTCAAGATTACGCTCGTTGTGGATTATGGAAGTATTTCGTATCTCAAATTTCTGCATATCTGCGTATTGTCCGCCCAGTCTCTCCGCGTTGCATCCAAAATGTTCCCTATTCTCAGCATTCGTCGTCTGACCCAGCATTTCCACAACTTCTCTGAGCTAGTGAAAATTCTGCTATGCTATGCTCGTCAGTTATCCATCTGTTGCTAAACAGGGAC